CCCAAAACTAATGAACCAATAAAGAAATGGGCATGTGAACTAAACAGAACTTTCTCAAAAGAAGAAATTCAAATGGCCAGAAAAACATGAAAAAATGCTCACCATCTCTAGCAATAAAGGAAATGCAAATTAAAACCACACTAAGATTCCACCTCACCCCTGTTAGAATAGCCATCATCAGCAACACCACCAACAACAGGTGTTGGCGAGGATGCGGGGAAAAAGGAACCCTCTTACACTGTTGGTGGGAATGTAGACTAGTACAACCACTCTGGAAAAAAATTTGGAGGCTACTTAAAAAGCTGGACATCGATCTACCATTTGATCCAGCAATACCACTCTTGGGGATATACCCAAAAGACTGTTACTCCAGAGGCACCTGCACATCCATGTTTATTGCGGCACTATTCACAATAGCCAAGTTATGGAAACAGCCAAGATGCCCCAGCACTGACGAATGGATTAAGAAAATGTGGTATCTATACACAATGGAATTTTATGCAGCCATGAAGAAGAACGAAATGTTATCATTCGCTGGTAAATGGATGGAATTGGAGAACATCATTCTGAGTGAGGTTAGCCTGGCTCAAAAGACCAAAAATCGTATGTTCTCCCTCATATGTGGACATTAGATCAAGGGCAAACACAACAAGGGGATTGGACTATGAGCACATGATAAAAGCGAGAGCACACAAGGGAGGGGTGAGGATAGGTAAGACACCTAAAAAACTAGCTAGCATTTGTTGCCCTTAATGCAGAGAAACTAAAGCAGATACCTTAAAGCAACTGAGGCCAATAGGAAAAGGGGACCAGGAACTAGAGAAAAGGTTAGATTAAAAAGAATTAACCTAGAAGGTAACACCCATGCACAGGAAATCAATGTGAGTCAATGGCCTGTATAGCTATCCTTATCTCAACCAGCAAAACCCCTTGTTCCTTGCTATTATTGCTTATACTCTCTCTACAACAAAATTAGAGATAAGGGCAAAATAGTTTCTGCTGGGTATTGAGGGGGGGAGCGGGAGGGGGTGGGGGCAGGGGGGAGAAATGAACCAAGCCTTGTATGCACATATGAATAATAAAAGAAAAATGAAAAAAAAAAAAAAAAAACAACTTGACCACAGTCATCACCCCTGTTGTTGCCCATGATCCCAGGTCTTAAACTTCTAGCAACAAAGTGTCCCTAGGATGGGAGTCTTGATCTAGACAAATTAAGTTGCTTTAGCATTTCAGCCAAGTAGTTTGTTTTGCCCATATGCCTGGAATAAACAAGTGATCATCTTCACTTAGTCATAGCTGTCAGTTTATCAGCCCAGGGAAAAGGCTCTGCATCTAAGGACCACCTGAAGTTGATGCAACGTAAGTCAGTGCTAGGATGGCAAAGAAACTTCCAGCTCAGTCCACTAGTGAGACTGAAGTGTCCCTAAGGACTGGTGCTTAGTCATCTCTGTATTTTCGTGGCTCAGCTCATCCTAAGTGTTCAGGCCTTGGGTGGACCCAGGTCTAGGTCCAGATACAGCATTTCCCATTCATCTTTGGCCAGTTGCTCCACAGTCGTTCTGGCTAAGAACAAGGCTCAGAAAATTCATAGGCTCCTGCTCCCATTGCCTTTCTCCCAGGATTATATCTGTACTGAGGCAGTGATTCTGCAGTGTATTTTACCCTGTGACTTTCTATTGGAAAGGCACAAATGTGACCTGTGAGTTTCAGAAATAAGAACTTCTAGACATTCAACATTTGACACAGTGCATAGCGCACTTGAAAAGCTCTCACTCTACACCTCTCTCTACACAGATCCTAGGAGTCAGTGTTCTTCCTTTTCCCTCATTCTTCAAGTCCAGTGCATCTTTCTCATTGGTCCCATTCTAGAACTGATATTGGATTGCTGATCCAGAGTTTGTGCCCTGGTGTAGTCGACTGAAGACACCAGATCATTAGTTAAGAGTAAAGCAAGCACAAAATTTATTGAAAGGACAGCAAAAGCTCCCCATGAACGGGAGGGACTTTGGAAAGCTAAAGCCACAGTATAGCTGAAGTCTAGGATTGATAAATGGCACTACCTGGCTTAGGTCCAACTATTCTACTTTGAAACTATATTTGTGATTGGCTCCAAGTCAGCTTCTCACAGAATTCGGTCACCTGTCTGTCCCTCTCCTTATCAAACAACATTTTAAGAAGATCTGATCAGCTCATCCTGGCCTTGGGACCCACTACCCACATTGTGCAGCTGCGTTTAGTTATTTTGGTAAGGGGCTTGTTATCTCAGTGAGAAGCCTATTGTTTCCCATACCGCTTTAGCTGTCTGCTTTTAAAGTGCCTCTCTCGTCCAAAATAAAGTCACCTCTGTCATTGCTCCCCTTACAGAATGTTTCATACAAATCCATTTCTAACACAGAGAACCCATACAGTGGCTTGAAGACGATGGAAGTGCTTTCTTCCACAATAGTCTAGGGTGAGTGGCACTGATTTGCCACAGGGCTTCCATGATATTCTGATTGTTGCCGTTTCCAACCACCGAGAAGCAGGGGGTGGGACAGGGGAGATTGTCCTCAAGAGCAAGCCCTCTCAGCTGGGCTGGCAGCCCACAGGCACGTGTAATCATGCTGCCCCAGCCCTCTGCACAGAAAGTTCTAGAGAGTGATGGTAATCCTTGCCATAGCCCCTCCTATTTTCCCTCCATCCAAGCCTATGGGCAGTGGTTGGGGCGGAGTGCCCCGTGGTGGCCACAAGGTCAGTAGGAACAGCATTTTCATCAGTCAATGGGACTGAAAAGCTCACATGAGAAAGAACTTATGTAACAAGGTTTACTCTAATACCTGATTACCTGATGTTGGACATGTGAAACAACATGTAGATCCATGAATAGGTAAATTCTTAAGTAAATTAGGACACATGGTTGAGGTGGACTGCTTGTGAGGTGTGTGTGTGTGTGTGTGTGTGTGTAACAACATGAAGCAATTACTGGAGAGTGAAAACAGAAGTTTGAACAATATATATGAAATATGTCATGACATCCACTTATAATTAAAAATTCAACTACACCATATATTAATATACATGACTATAAATGGACTCACTTAGTTCCAGAAGGATAAGCAACAAACTCAGTATTAACTACTGGAAAAGGGATGTCAGATTGAGAGAGAATGCAAGGAGAGGGGTGAGGAGAAGGAATAATGAAGAGTAACTTTTGCCTTCTGACTATATCGCAGGATTGAATTCCATAGATGACAATGCCCTATTTATAACTAAAACAAAGAAATGCCCAATACATATCAAATTTTAAAAATTGAATTGAAATCCCATACATGTAGTATACTACTTTATAAAACAATATAAACATACAAAGAAATAGAAGTCTGGGAGGGTGGCAGAACCCAACAACCATATCAGAGGGTCAGCAAGGCTCCCACTTATTGCCGTGGGATTCTATCACCCCATGCCAGATGTGGTTTTAAGCCAAGAAGAGTGAAAGAGCTGAGCGCACACTGCTACTGCACTGACTACTAATGGGAGTCAGCATTGCATGGTCCTCATCCTCTCTCCTCTCCACAGTCTTGGGAGGGAGTCACTGTTGTCCCAAGTTTGCAGATGAGGAAGTGGACCCCAGGAAGGCTCAGTAATATGGCCCATGAGCAATCAGGTGTGACAACAAGTCTGGCCCCAGGTTCTATGCCTGGAAGCCCTTGGGTTTTGCTCCTGCACCACAAGGCCCAGACACCCTCTCGGAACCAAGGGAAAAAAGCCCCTCCTGAGCTTCTTTCAGTTGCCATCATGTCACATGATACCTGACATGGCATATGGCCTGGTTCTCACTGCACTCAGAGGCCTCAGATCATGGGATCAGACTCCAACTGATTCCCCTGCCTGGGAGGGTAGAGCACAACAAGGCACAGAAGAGGAGATACTCTGAGGACTCTGCAGAGGATTACACCTCCTCAGAATGCAACTGCAATTCAGTTGCCAAATACAGAAATGGAAAGAATTATGGTTGCCAGAAGCTGGAAGGGAAATGGAGTTGTATAATGTGTGCAGTTTTGTTTTATAGGATAGAGAAGTTCTGGAGCTGAAAGGCGTGATGGCTGCATAACAGTGTGAGCATACATTTTAATTCAGATGAGTGTCCCCAAAGGCCCGTGTGTTGAAGGCTTTGTTGCCAGCCTATGGTGCTACAGGAGGTGGTGGAACCTTTAGGAGGCAGAGAATAATAGAAGGAAGTTAGGTCATTGGTGGCATACACTTGAAGGGGATGTTGGACCCCAGCCTCTGCTGTCTCTCTTTACTTCCTAACCATCAGGAGGTGAGCCTTGCCACAGGCCCGAAGTATCAGAGTCAACTGACTATGAATTAAAATAAGCCTCTTCTTCTTATAAGTTGATTATCTCAGATATTTTGTTACAGTTTCAGATTTCAAGCTTGGAAAGTGTCCTCAAAGCGTGATTTATTCAAAATCTTGCTATAATTGTAACTCAATTAAAGAAGCTCGCAGAACACGCCTCTGCCCCCACCCAGCAACTGTGCCAATTATATTTTCATATTCATATTTTTCTTCATTTTGCATATGCACTGCATTTAAAAGCTACTGTACTAGAACATATGCTTTTGTTATATTTAAATATTTATAATTCATTCATGTACCATTGTAGCATGGTATTAGTTTGATAAGATAGCAAAATACCATATAAAAATAAGTGAAAAGTTTTTATATATCCACAGGAAAGAATTCACACAGAGAAAAATGTAGGACAAGCACTCTGCATAATCTCTTCATCAGTTTTCTTGTTTTTACTTTCATTATCAAACCTAAGAATGATCCCAGGCAGGGCACCCCAAGACAGCTTCCCATGCCACGTGGCTAACCTCTCAGGACAGGTGCAGCCGATACACAGACTTATCCAAACCAAAGGGAAGTGCAGGCTGGAAAAACCATCTCCAGCTAGCATATGGGAAAGAACGCAGCTTCTCTTGGTTTCCAGTTGTGCATCCCTGCAAGTTCAGCATCATGCACTGTTTTCAAAATTGGGATTCTTGGGGTATATATCATTGGGTGAGAAGTTCAGAATCTCATCCAAAGAAGGGCCTTCCTCATCAGGACCAATTTCAGACTCGAACATCCTCTGCAGCAAGGCATCCACAGTCCTGTATTCTAGGAGGAAGGAGAAAGAGGTACATGCAGTCTACCTGTATGGAGGTTTGGGGACACACTCAGCCTGGCAGACCAAGTCTCTCCTCAAGGATGGCCTTGAGTCAAAAACAAGGCTCAGAGTACTGTGACCAAATACTGTTAGAGAGGGAGGATGCACAAGTCAGAGAAGACACTCATCTGCCCTTATGTGGACCCCCATGGCATCCCCCAGCCACTGATGGCCTTGAAGACCAAGAAAGCCCTTCTTTTGGGGTGAGGGAAGATGTCCACCTTTTAGGACTGTGAACTCATACCACACCTCCTGCAATCTGGTCGCATTCCTCTATCTGAACTTGTGGCAGGATACCTGGGACAGAGAGGTCCAAACAGACTGGTTTAGGTTTCCTCAGCCAATAGTGGTGAATTCATTAAGAATTAATGAAATAATTAAACAAAGACTTGTCAAGAGTCTCTGTCTCCCAAGGTACACTGTAAGGCTCAACAGATCAAAACAACAAAGCCACAGCCTTGTATACATGGGGCATTGAATTGGCAATGACCAAATTGGGACCAAAATAGTCACTGAGAAATGAAAGTACCCCTGACACATGCAGGGAAAGCAGAGCAGGGAGCCTCACAGAACACCTGGCCTTCTTAGGGAAGCCAGGAGGCTTGCCTGGAAAGAGTTGCCTGAATGAGTGGAACAGAGAAGCAGCATCTAATAAATGCCCTGTGACCATGCAGCAGAGCAGGGGCGTCAAGCCACTGAAAGGACTGTGGGGCTGAGGAGAAGAGATGTTGCAGCTGAGTAGCAGGGGATAAAAACTGAAATACTGAGAGACACTAGGCATTCAGGCAACGAGGGGCCTGGTCTTCATCCTTGAGCAATGGGAAGACACTGGAGGCCTAATCTGCATTCTAGAAAGATCTCAGTGGCTACTGGGAGGAGGGGGATTGGAGAAAGGTCTGTGCAGATCTATCTTTGCATCAGGCTGCAACTTACTTTTCTTTTTTTTCTTATTCATTTATTCACATGTGCGTACATTGTTTGGGTCATTTCTCCCTCCTGTCCCCCACAACCCTCTTCCCCCTCCCCCCGCAACTTACTTTTTGATGCAATTCTGCAGTACAGTCCTTTCAACGCCTTCCTTTTGTTGTCTCCATCATCCCCACTAAAGCCACTGTCCTTGGCATCCACATTATCAGTGAGCTTCCCACCCTGCACATCGTCCCTTCAAGGAGATAGAGAGAACAGGAACATGGTCAGGGCCTCAGAAAAGACCTGCATGTGACCGCCCAGGCATGGCCTAGTGGTCACATCCAGCCACATCCAGCACACACACCCTGAAAGGCCCCCAGTGCAGATACACAGGACCAGGCTGGGTATGGGCACTGTCAGATTAAACTCAGTCAGGATGTCCCCAGCCTATCCCACTTCAAAGTCCAAGAGTCATCGAGGGAAACAGACCACTCACTCTTGGATTCCCACTCCGAGCTCTTGAATCTTCTTCTCAATGGCAGTTTCTAGTTCACTTTTTTCTAATGAATACGCCACAAAGAAGGCCTCCAGGATGAATGCTACAAAAATACTAAGAAAGAGAAAGAGGTAAAGGGTGCCAGGTGGAGTCAGCCACCAGCTAGATGACAAAGAATCCTGTCTGCAGAAAGCATTGGAGTCCAAATAAAAAGGCAACCTCTTGCTGTCCAGGAAATGCTACCCAGGAAGGAGAATTGACAAATGATAAAACATCTCTCAAGGACTGAACATGGCTTTCATTCACTTGGAAAACCATTCTTCCTCTACATCCTCCTAAAACAATGAATGGTGAGAAGATGCACTTTTTTGGGGGGGATGGATGGGGAGAAGGTGAGTTTTGAGGACAGGATCTTGCTGTGTAACCCAGGCTGGCCTCAAACTCTCAATCCTACTAACACACACACACACACACACACACACACACACCCCGCCCCAGTGCTGGGATTACAGATGTGCACCACCATGACTGGCAGAAAATGCCACTTTATCTGAAGAGGAAGCTTAGGCCAAACAATTGTTCAGTGATAATGCTCCAGGAATATCTCAGGTGTCAGCAGCTGGGTCCACTGAACAAAGGCATTTAAGGATAACTGAGAAATATTTGTCTAAGGAGGGATTTTAGCAGAGTGATGCTGAGAGCTTTCTCCCTCCTCAGGATGGTCTAGAGTGGCAAGATACTCTTCACTTTTCCCTCCAAAGAGTAAGGACTCTTACATCCCAGAGTAAGATGGAGTCTTCCCACCCCACTTCCTCAGAGGAAGGGCAGGTTGCCAGCAGCCCTACCTAAGATCAGAGTTTTCTAATTTCGGAGTTGCCCTCCTGCACTGCCACCTGCTCCCACTGGCCCTCACCATACTACCTGGGGACTCAAGGTTAGGGAACCAGCGCAAAGTGTTTCTGTACTGTTGATCTGATCATGAATAACAAACCATCTTCATCTCTAACACAGTCTTATGTTCTGTTACATATGTGCAGCAGGCCAGTCTGTACCGTGCAGAAGAGTAAACTCTTGGTCCCTTTGCTATTTCTGACTTTAATGATAATAAGGACACAGCCCAGGGCTGTCACAACACTCACAGGCTCTTTAGGGGAAAGAAGAATCCCAGTCTTTCCACTTTGTTACCTTGACCTATGCCAGCACTCAGTTAACTTCTCCATGAGTCACTACAGGAGGCAGCTCCCTTTCTTCTCCTTTGCATCCCATCAGGTTGTATAAGACAAGTAGGTAGGCCCCCTGCAGGGCTCCTTCTCTCCCACTCCTTGCCAGGACACTCCCTGAGGCATTCTGGGACAAATTATCAGGTAAAAGGGTGTCTGACCAGCCCTGATGTGACAGAAAGGGCACTAGAGCTGGGTGGTCACCCCAAGAACCCAGGCCCTAGGCTCTGAGATGGGACTGACCACCAGAAAGTCCTGTAGGAGAGAGTCATGGTGGTCACAGGACTCAAATGCAGATCACACAAGGAACTAGAGTCAAAGATTCCAACTGAAGGAGAGCCCTTTTGAGGGGGCAAGAAGTCACCATAGCTTTCAAACATCTACTGAGCTCTCTCATGAGAAAGGGGAAGGACAGACCTGGAATCCGCTGGGGCACATTCCCATCCTACTGGGCTCTGCCAGAGACAGATTCCTATCCTACTAGGATCCACCAAGGCCATGCTCCCATCCTACCATGAAGTGCTAAGGACCAGAGCAGGAAAACAAGGGAACTGACTCTCTCGGGTTCCAGAGTCCCAGCTGCTGAATGATTTAGTTGGAGGCTATATAGCAATTCAGCAGGGATGTTCTTGAGGCGATTCAATCTCAGAGGGCAAGAGGAGGGAGGCCAGCCAGGACCTCAGATTCCTTCTAACCCAAACAACTTCTGAGATTCTGACATGTGTATTATAGACTGATAGGCATTTATAGCTGGTGACCACTAAGAGGACCACAAATGGGAACAGAAGACATCCTCCCTTCCATGGCTTAGTCTTTCATGAGGGAATGAGACCTGCTCACAACAAAGAACAGTAGAAGTGACTGAGGTTAGATATTCTGAAAAAGAAGGTCCCAAATGTCCAAGTCGGCAGAAGGAAACTCACTTAACGATGAGGATGACGACCACAATGTGGAACAAGATGAAGTACAGCTTTGCAGCCTGGTGGTCACAAGGGCAAGCCATCTGCCAGGAGTGGGAGGCTAAGGATCCAGACCTTCAAGAAACTTAGCAGGTCCCCTGAGCTCAAAGATGTGCCAAAGCCTAATCCTTCTTCTAGAAGTTTCTTTTGGCAAGCCCCACCCCATCCCAGGAAGCGATGCCAGTGATTCACACAGAAAGGATATCATGCCATTGGTTGACCACCGTAAGCTCCATCAACACAATAAAGGAAGAGGCGAGGTCGTTGAAGTTGTTCTTGCAGTACCTGTCTCGGGCAAATGCTGACCCCTTTAAGGCTGGGTTCCCACAAACCAGGGCATCAGAAGTGGTGAAATTCGGATCAAAGAACTGGACTTTGCCATGGAACGCTTCCATCCCAATGACAGCAAACGCATAGTAGACCACCTAGGATTGGAGGCACCCAGTCACCAAGGGGCACCAACAGCTGCAGGAGTGCTGTGCAGGGAGCCTGCAGGAGACCCAGGAATAGCACCGGGTACTGCCCTGCCCACAGTCCAGGCTCCAGCAAAAGGAGCTGCCTATGTATTCCTGGGAAAGTTTGCCCTCCCCTACCAAGAATTCCAAGCACCTTCAGGAAAAGGGTGGGAGAACCAACTCAGCCAGAGAATCCTAGGCAGTCTGTGGCACTGCCAGCTGGATGACATCTGACCTCTCCTGGGTCTCATTTATAAAGATGAAAGTGAAACTGCTAGCAAGCAGTAGGTTAAATACTCACTAAATAGCAGTTCTCTAGCAAAAAAAAGAAAGGTGGGTCTTTACCTTGTTCTTTCTCCCAAAAATAAATTTCAAAGGTATCAAAAGATTAAACATAAAAAATAAAACTATAAAGTTACCTACAGGACTGGGACAGGGGAGGAATTGAGCAGAAAAACTATAAAACTAAAAATCACTATAAAATAGTAAATTTAAACTTTTATATGGCCAAAAAAATATGAAACAAAAAGCTTTCATGTCAAAAAACAAAAACAAAGCTGGGCACAGTACTGGTCATCTGTCATCCCAGCTACAGGGAGGTTGAGATGTAGAAGATGGTGGCTCCAGGCCAGCCCAGGCAAAAAAATTTGCAAGACCTCATATCAATCAATGGAAAAAGCTGAACAGGGTGGCATGCACTGTCATTCCAGATATGGCAGGAAGCATAAAACAGGAGGATCCCACTTCAGGCCAGTAAGAGGAAAGCAAGAACCTATCTCAAAAATAACCAGAATAAAAAGGGCTTGTAACATAGTTCAAGTGGTAGAGCCTCTTACCTAGCAAGCACAAAGCCCTGAGTTCAAACCCCAGTACTGCAAAAAAAAAAAAAAACACCAGGGAGGTGAATAGGCTATTTGCAGAAAAATATGCATTATGCGAAAGGCTCAGCCTCATGAATAATGAAATGAATGCATGTCAAAAAAGCACCATGCTATTTTCTCACCCATCAGATTTGGAAAAAATGGAAATGTTGAATAAACCCTGCTGTTGGCAGAGAAACAGAAACTGTCACATACTGTTGTTTGGAACATACGTGAGAGCATGTCTTTGGGAAGGCTACTGTCAAGCCAAACTGTGGACCCATTTATCCTTGACCTAGAAGTTCCACTTTTAGAACTGTATGCCACAAATCTTTACCATATCATTTGTGATGGCAAATAGGTTAGCCCATGGTCTGTCAGTAGAAGGGGTGGTCAGTTATGTTCTGGAGTCTTCTCTCAGTGGGACATTTTTAATCATGGCAGAGCTTACCTGGATGCAGGAGCCTCTCAAAACACAATAAAGATGTCAAGCAGAATAAAGTTGTGCGACAACCTTTTGAATGATTATCCCGTTTGACTGAACAACAAACTGGACACATACAGAGACAGTGATGATATATTTGTGTGTGTAGAAATATTTAGGAAGAGTAGCAAGAACTCTTAATACTGGTTTCCTCTGGAGAAGAGGCACATGAGGGATGGGAATGGGTGACTTACAGTCAACCTTTTATTCTTCCTTCCTAATGGCAATTTTTTTTGGGGGGGAAGTACTGGGAGTTTGAATTCAGGGCCTAGCGCTTGCTAGGCAGGTGTTCTATACAACTTAAGTCACTCCGCCAGTCCTTTTTGTGCTGTTTATTTTTGAGATAGGGTCTTGCTTTATGTCTGGACTGGACATCTCCTGATCCCCACCTCCCAAATAGCTAGGATTACATACAGTCTTGAGCCACCATGCCCAGTCACTAATGGAATTTTTTAATGATATCAATGAAAAGAAAACCCAGTGCCCTGTTGCAGTGCTCGCCAATATTTGAGCTCCCTCATCCACTGTGAAACCACCCTTGGTGAGAAGGTCCCCAGCCTGGTGTGGCTTTATATGATGTTGATGTGGAGGAACAGGTGGGAGGGTTCTCTCCACAATCAGGATGAAGGACCTGAGGCCTGGGAGGTAGGGGGACGGAGCCATGAGCTGAAAGACCATATGTCAGTCATCTGCCAGCTCAGAATTCCCAGGCAAGGAAGAAACTATAGCTGGTTAGCCCACCGGACTGACAGCATTTCTTACAGCACATACCTTATTGGATGCATGCCCATTGTTTCTAGAAACTTGATATTTTATAAGAATGACAACTAGAAACCAATGCCTCTCATCTACTTATTCTCCCTTTCTTCCCCTCCCTTAAAGTAAGACTTTCTGGAGTCTAATATTCCCATGCCTTAGGCATGTAATAAATTGTGTTTGTTCTTTTTTGTGTTTAAAAGAATTCATTAAAAAAAATAAGTCTCAGGACATCCTACCACTTATTTCACATTGAAGAGCAAAGGAGATCAGTTACTTACGAAGACAAGACCGCCAAACGTCAGCATGGTGGGGCCAATGTTAATTAAAGTGGTCACTATCACCCGGAATCTAGGATAAAGCAAAGTTTCTGACACAAGGCGAAGGGAAAGATGGAGAGCAACACTGACCCCAAACTAGCACCCTTGATTCAATATCCTCACCCAAGCCCTGTAACTGTCAATTATGGCAGGAGTTTTGCCACCCACTAAGGTGAAAGGGAGTTGAGTTGTTGTTTCCCTGAAGTAAAGCGAGGCTGACTTGACAAACGTTAGAAGACAATCACAGAACACTTCACCATCGAGACCCAGGAGGGCATTAGGGTAGAAAGCTACTGAGCCTCATCTGCTTTTCTCTCCCTTCTCCATCAAAATTGAGCCTGAGAGATGGGGGGTGGCTCAAATAGTAGTACACCTACCTAACAAATGCAAGGCCCTGCCTATGTTCAGCCTCCACACAGCCAAAAAAAATAAGCCTGACTTAAGGCTGTCCTGGAGGCTTCTGTCAACAACTGAATCCTTTCTGGAGCCAGTCCCAGGATGGAGGTGATTCCACTCTCCCCGCCACCATTTCTTGAAAGGAAGCTAGCCTATCAAAAACCAAAGCTGGAGTTTATCCAGGCTTTGGGGCCAGACTCCTGGGTTTGCCTCTTTCCAGCTGTGCACCTCTGGGGGAAATGACAAACTTTCTGAGTTTCAGTGTCATGATCTGTAAACTAGGGATAATGGAAAGTCCTTTTATCAGGGTTATTAACGAGGGAATGACTAGCACATTCTAGTTAGCATTCAGTGCCATCACAGACACTCTTATGCAGTCACTGTACAGACAGGTGCAATTCAGGGCTGGTCGCAGGAATGAAAGTGACCAACACAATCCCTGGGAGCTGACATCTGAGTGCACTTCACCCATCTTCACTGGCTTCTCTCCCCTAGCCTGCTGCCCCCAGAGAGCCCTAGGCCCTCTGTACAAGCTATGTGCAGGCTTCATGGTTAGTTGTATTGCAGTTATGAAGCAGGACTGCTTTCCACCAGGCCTCTATCTAAGTGCAGCCACTTCACCTCACTTCATTTGTACCTCTGAATGCTGACGATGACCCTTAAGAGCCGCAGTATTCTCAATATCAAGACAATATCCAGTATCTGCTGACTGTTGTATTTTCTTGCTGGAAAAGGAACACAGTCCTTTAACATTAAAGTTTTTTAGAGTGTCTGACTTGTCCCTTACATTCAATGACATCTGAGACTCTGTGGGGCTTGGGGAAGGATGCAGCTTCATCCTCAATGAGGGTGGGGTGATAGAGCAATTGCCTAGAATGTGCAAGGTCCTGGGTTCCATCCAAAGACAGAGGAGGAGGAGGAATAGGAAGAAGAAGACAAAGAAAAAGAGGAAGATCAATAACAACAACAGGACAATGGCTCTGAGAAATCCTGACCCTGCAAGTCAAAGCCAAGACCAGTGCGTATAGAAGCTGAGTGTTCCCTTCTCCCCACCCATCAGAGCCAAGGAACCAGGTGTGCACATGTAGACTACATCAAGAAGTGACTGTGGATCCAAGTGTACAGAACACATTGCCACAAGCCTTCCATTTTCTCACAATCCATCTCAGAGTTATATAAAGAACCTGCACTGTCTTGAATAGTCCCACATGCCAAGGGCAGGAAGGAGTGTGCATGGGTTGGGGGTATGTGTGGGCAGAGCCAGAGGAGGGTAGAAAGAAGACAGTGGTGAGCAGGGAGGATGCAGGGTTCCTGCTACGTCTGGAAGCTGGGTGGGAGGTGAAGGCAGGCAGAAGGTCAAAGAGTGGAAGTTGGCCCTGAGACTGAGGCCCAGTTTGGGAGAGATGACTAAGTGAATATTAGGTGTAATAGCCACCTACAAAATCTCTAAAATCAATCCCTCTCAAGAACATGGAACATTTTGTTTGTGTGTGCTGCTGGGGATGGAACTCAAGATGCTGGGCAAGTGGTCTACCACTGGGCTACATTCCAGCCCCTTGAAACATTTTTAATAATAGTCTTATGCTCCACTCCCTAGCCCCAAAATCTTAACAGTGCATTGTAGATGTTGAACAGTACTGATTAGATATTGGACCCCAGCAGGTGGTAAAGCTGAGCACTGTTGGCACTGACCTGACTGAATGGTAGCATTGGCCACAGTGGCCACCAGGGCTGCAAGGATGATCAGCATGTCAAACCTAATGGTGCAAAAGCAAAGCTGTTTAGAATCAAGGGAAAGGCCTGGATCAAGCTCAAGATATGAAGCATCTGGGAGAACTTTGAATCCAGTATCTTATACAAAGCAATGATCCAGATTTAAAATTTGCTTCCAAATCTTCAGGACAGTAGACATGAAGCAAGCAACACTGTTTGGTCAACCCAGTCATCATTCATTGGCTGCTCCAAAGGTTCATCCAAGGGAATTTATAGGAATCAGCTCATTCACATCACTTTATTTGTCTTCCTCAATAAGCCTATACTTTTAAGAACACTTTGATTCATTTACAGAATACTTAGTACCATCTTTCTAGGTACTAATTTCACCAAATGCATTGTAACTTTTTAATTGAAGAAGAAATTCATCATGTCACAACTTTTCTCTCTGATGCCAAAGAATAAGAAAACATTGGTCAATACTCTTAGAGCAGTGACCACAGAGATCCAACCTTGCCGAGCTGTGAACTACTTATGTCAGGCCAGTGACATGTATCTTTCTATCACTCAGGGCCTGACACACAAGATGCACAAGCCAGTTTTCAGCACTAGGGCCACGCTGTGCTGAGAGGACAAAAATGCAAAGTCTGAAGAAGAGAAGGTCCACAGAGAGACATAGCTCCATCTAGGGACAAGCTCGCCAACAGTCTCCATTGCCCCACTCCATCAGCTGAGTTTATAATAGTAAGACCAGAGTGTGAGCCAGGAAGTCATGAAAGGAATTGTCTCCTTAAATATGAAAAGCCCGTGTTAATAAGAAATACAACCCTGGTTCCCAGCCAGCACTCTTAAAGACCTTGTAATGTTGACAGTAACTCTAGGTAAATAGTGTCAGAATTGAATCAAACTGTGAGACATCCAGCTAATGTTCAGAGTTGGACAATTATTTGTTGTGAATTAAAAACCCACACCTTCGGTGTCAGGAGTGTTGAGAGAAAAGACAAAAATGTGTTTTTGTTTTATTTTTTTTTGCAGTACTGGGGTTTGAACTCAGAGCCTACACCTTGAGCCACTCTGCCAGCCTTTTTTTTGTGTGTGTGTTGGGTGTTTTCAAGATAAGGTTTTGTGAACTATTTGCCTGATCTCTGCCTCCTGAGTAGCTAGAATTACAGGCGTGAGCCACCGGTGCCCAGCTGTTTTCCTCTTCTTAAAGATCCTCTCCAACTCTAAGATGCCATGGTCTATGATTCTAATTTTAGCTACAGTCAGTTCAAACTGACAGCACGAATGATGGCTTTCCCTAAAC